GGGGGGGGACTGACTTCCATCCCCCGTCCCATGAGCGATTTGTCATTAAAAAGATTCGTTGCGCGAGTTACGTTCTTCATTGATGACCATTTGGCGCATGAGTGCCCCACGGCTTTATATGTTCTTCATGAAATGGCTTCGACCGTTGGCCTCACATGCACACAGACAAGCGTGCATTCGTGCAAAGTCGTAAGTACTGTGCACAGTATACACGTACTGTCTCTTATACACATCTAGATGTGTATAAGAGACAGGTTTCCGAACAATGGTTTCGGGTTCTAATTAAGCTTGTTTTACGAAAGTAATTTTCAATTACAATTCAATTTTTATCGCAGTGCGCGATGTATTCGCGGTGACGAAAAAAATTAGGATTTTTTTTTTGCACACGAACCTAAAAAAAAGTCAAGCCGAGCGTCCAATAATACAAAAATTATTGGACGCTGGGGAATAGGCAAATAACATTGGGAGTCACGTCACGATTGACTTATAATGACTGTTATTGGGCGCCATAAATCATTGGCACATATTAATATCGCAGTCGATGATACATCGCAGACCAATTAACCTGGTTTACATAAAAATAATGCTCAGACAGTTTTTACTAGTCTTCAAAGACATTTGATAGTGTTGGTTGTATTTGATCATATGTTTTGCGAAAAGATTTATTACTCAAAGTGAAGAGTCCAAAATTGTTCTTTATAACATTTGATTTGACTATGTATATATTTTTTACGAATTACCGTACCTGTCTCTTATACACATCTAACCAGGCTTACGTCGTACTGGAAAATCCATCTCCACTCTCCAGAGTTGCTGGCGCTAGGATTTGCCCGACGGGGGGTCCGAGGTCCTCAGCGGGGGCCGATGCCCCGACAAGATAGAATTGGCGTGGTCAGGCGTCGCTCAAAATCTTTCGAAAGTGGTTCCAGGGGATTCCGAACAATATGACAAATTAGGGGTTTCAAAGGCTTATTTTATAGCCTATTAATATGTAGAAAATACATAAAACATTTTCCCCGACGAATTGTGTGAAGGGAGGATGCTCTTCCCGACGAGAGGCGGTGGGGGGGGGGGGGCTGACTTCCATCCCCCGTCCCATGAGCGATTTGTCATTAAAAAGATTCGTTGCGCGAGTTACGTTCTTCATTGATGACCATTTGGCGCATGAGTGCCCCACGGCTTTATATGTTCTTCATGAAATGGCTTCGACCGTTGGCCTCACATGCACACAGACAAGCGTGCATTCGTGCAAAGTCGTAAGTACTGTGCACAGTATACACGTAGGCCTATTATAGGTATTAGGCCTGTATATATATATTTTTTTTCAAGTTCTCGTTTTTCTATAACTATGTACATTGTAATTTTACCTGTTTTACACTCTTACTCATTTGTATAAAATAGATCTTATACTTTCTTTATATATATTTCCAGGGAACAGTAATTTCTCTGTTCCCTGATATTTCAAACATTTATTATAGGCCTATTATACAAAAAAAAAAATGAAATAATAAATAAATTTGGAAAAAAAATCTCGACCTATGTAGGAGAGTAGGCCTAAAGGTTGAAAATCTTCAACATCATATTTGAAAAAAAAAATAATTAATTCGTTTTTGTTTTTCAACTTTTTACGGCCTATATTTATTTTATGTTATATTTATATATCTGAAATAGATGAACAAACAATGAAATAATTAGTCAATTAATTAATTGATCCCAATATGATAATTTTATTCGACGCATTGCATAATAAAATATAAGAGCAAGTGTGTATATTACACTGTACTTGGTAGTTCCAAAGTCAAATGACTCCATCGTTATAATTAGAAGTAATCGTATTCGGAACGAGATAATCATTTGGAACGTTTTTAATAAGCAATTAGTAGAGCTCCGCATAGTACACTATAGAAAAATTATTGTACGAAGGTTAGATTTAATGCTTGAAAAAATTTCCTAAGGGCCTACAAGGCCCGAAGGAAATTTTCGAATGCATTAAATCGAACCTAAGTATAATAATTTTCCGTTTAGTGTACAATGCATGCTCTACTAATTGCTTTATAAGTCAATCGCTGTCTTTTAATTTTAGTTTTTTTATAACCAACTGTTGTAGCAGCCATCAGTTGCTATAGTGATATGATCAGTATACGTGTGCGTATTTACATTTAGCTGTGTGTATGCTGATTTTTGCTCCTGCAGTACGTGTTTAACTCATCTACACACATCAGCAGTACGGTACGGATACGATGAATAACTATTGTGTTAGAAAGAACTTGTTTGTAATGCTATGTTGATAGAGTTTCGTCAAAGAAATAAACATTTCAGCATTCGAGAGGGAATACAGTCACTGACGTCACTGACGTCGGTGCATACAGACAGGTAAAATCGTAATTCATAACTAGGCCAGGCTAGCTACGGCCTATGCCTAGTAACAGTAGGAGGAGGCGGCCCGGGCGGCCTGCCTGGCCGTAGGCCTACATCTAAATTTGTTCCATGAGTCTTTAAAATAGGTCTAGAATATTTCTATTAAACGTTCAGTTTGTTGTGTTTATGAGGGTCCATTGATTCAATGAATTCCTTAATTGTTCATACTTAATATTGAATTTGAAGTAACTTTCTTCG